TTGTTCTACTTACTATATAATTCAACTTCCAACGCTTTGTACAGTAGTTAACTGAAGATGATCGAAACATGTTTTACAGACTCAAACGTTTTGTCGCTTTCTCTACATTCTTGACTTGCCTGCTAATATCAAGACCCTAAGTTACAATTGTAATGACTGTGATGATTTCTATAACTAAACGTACTTAGCTTTGGTTTTGTTTATGTAAGAACAATAAAAGATCCTTCATAAAATGCAGGGTTTCTAAATATGCAAAGTGCATATATGGATAAATAGAATTCTTTCATTTGTGTGTTACAAACTATTAAATAAAATTTCTGAATCTACCCAATTTGATGAGTGTTTTCTCAAAGTTTGATGTAAGACTGCCTTCCTGATTTTTTTTTCTAAAAAAAGTGAATAATTTCCCTTGAAGTCTACTCTAAACATCCTCGAAACTGTCCATTGTGGAAAATTCTTTGATATGTGCACAGGATTGTCAAAGTCCATTCTTGACACAATTCAATGTGGTGTAAATTTACAATTATTTTTAACTGTTACTCAAAAGCAACAGATGGTTATTTTCCTTTTGTCGATTGCTAATCACCGACGATCTGTAACAATAGTTTTTCAAGGTCTCCTTTCAATTCGTTCTCTATCGCTGTCCTTAACGTCTGTCCTGTCTTCTTCTGATATTCTGTTTTGACCTCAGCAAGATCAACCTACACAAACAAACAAACAAATTAACCAAAAAAAGAACAAACAAAAAAGCGAATCTTAATAACAATAATGATGATGATGATGAAAGAGCATAAATATAAGGGCCGCGGAAACTAGGGGGGAGTAAAGTAAGCAATAATAGTAACAGTAAGCCAAGTCTGTTGGAAAGTCAAATAGAATTTACCACAAATTACAGTTTTATAAATAAGAAAAGGAATTTAGACTTGGGTGAAGTTAAGCCTGAGGGTGATTAGTATCTAATTTGGCACAACACTATCACTAATGAATCAAGCATTAGACTCATACGAACAAAGGAAACGAATACCCATAAGCTCTTGATTTTTAATTAAATTCACTCTGTTATTTCCAAAGAAAATTTACGAAGAACAGTACGGAGAAAATACATGCTGATGTTGGAGTGTTTTAGGGGTTAAAGGTTTTTAGGTGGTCAGACAAAGTACTCTCAGCGTTTTCTGTAAAGGGGTTATGAGAACAGATAATTTAGTCAACTGGAAGGCGTTACCCTGATCACGCACTAAATTCTCTCCTCTAATGTTCAAAAAAACATTGCAGGGGGAATTATAGTTTCATAACAAATCACCTCTGATCTTGTGACCACAACACGAGTGACTGTTTTGCTGTCAGATCCTATACCACTGATTGCTTTTTCCAACGTTTCAGCGAAAAACAGCGGAGGATTTCGGGTACATCGAACTAGAAAAAAGAAAAAGAAAATACCGTGAAAGGTTTGAACCCGGAAGAAACAGTTGATCTTGTTGTTTAATTGTCAATCATCAACCATGTAATGTTGTTAGTGACAGTGATTGAAAAGCTGAGCAGAAGTCATTATCAGTATCAAATTGACTCCAATGATGACTTTCGGTCGGGTTGTCAAAACTTCAGTCGCGGTGAGTGACAACGTTCCCTCTCTGGATTACTCTCACCAAGAAGATCACACTACACAATCGAGAGATAATTAAATGTTCTTATCGTGGATTTAATATTTTTGAGATTATTGGAGTTCACGCAAAGATAAACACTTTGTTGGGAAACCATTTCGGGAGGAGATCCTAAAAGGCACTGATTTGAAGGGGGGGGGGGAGTGTTAACTTAGGGGTCATTGGATAAGGAGGTTAAGCAGAGTTTTAGAGATATTTAAAGCATTTTTTTGGCTGTACCAATCGCTTCAACGGTATCGTGGAAATCTCCAGTGAGCTCAGAGTTCACAGAATCCATGATATCACACTTGGCAACCTGGGGAATTGATGTCAAAGAGATACAAAAAAAAAAAAAGTCAACAACATCCCTTGGCCACTTGTAATCTGATGATGTTAAGTATCAACACGCCAGCTGGTAACAAGCAGTTGTCTAACTTTAAAACTAATCATGTCATAACATTGAATAGAAATTGCTAGCAAGAGAAACGATGACTGAGTTGCATCATTGTTTGTACTTGAATATAAAAAATTAGTAGCTTTGTGGTATCCGTAAGAGCGGGTCGCAACTTCTTCGACTTTCCGATATGTCATTTAATGGGGGGAGCCCCCCTTATCCCGCACCCGTGCTATCATCACCATGGTTTCATCGTTGACCGCATTATAATTTCGTTGACCGAGCAGGAGGCTTTCAGTTTGACAGGGTTTATCAGCTGAGAGCTGTGTGCAAAACGGTTGTTACAGATGAAGTTTGTGTTTTTTTTTTACCCTAATTGTTTTTGGTAGATTATCCACGCATCAGAGTTACACGTAATTATTAAAACGGGTTTGTACGGTTCAAATCTTCAACGGGTACGCAGAATTTAAGACTGAATTTAACGTCGTTTAACGTTGAACGTTGAGAACGTTGAGTAGCAATCGAAAACACCCTAACCATATTTTCATCGAACTAGGCATCACAATTTCACATTCTACTCATTTTCTAACTAATGTCAGAAAATTATACAAAGAGGAAGCGCATTGAGGGGGTTTAACTCACATGTTTGTACGCTTCAAACGTTGCTTGCAGCTGCGTGGTGCTTCTTGTTGTAAGAACTTTAACAAACACAGACTCATCTGTCCCCCACTTGTCTTCACCAGCCTAAAGGACAAAAAATGTATTAAGAAAAAGCTTTTTATCCAAGTTTACATTTTTACGGTGTATTATTGTTACATTTGATTTGGACTAATGTTAATGTTCTTGTATACGATAAGGGTAAAGACAAGAGATATAACAAAACCCTGCAAATTCGTGTAGGAACTTAAAAGATCAGTAACCAATAACCTGCTGATTGTCCACTGAGTTGATCCTATACACCAAGGTTGTTTTTTACTAACCTCCAAAAGTTTCGTAGCATCTTCATAAGCAAGATCTTCATCCACCTTTTCTGAAGTACTTCGCTTTCCCTATGAAAAGTTAAGTAGTATTCAAGGGTTAGATCTGTAATGTATTTTGAAAGTAAGGATAGTTTAAGTGTCGGAAGGTTTGAGTAAGCCCTTAAGAAGAAGCGAAAAACGTGCGTTTAACTTTTTTTTTTAAATAGTAATTTCTGATGAGCGTTCAACCTAGCCAAGCTTCGTCACGGGTTCTCCTTCAAAAAGGATCAATTAAAATCCTAATTAGTGACATTTTAGTTGAACACTGTACTCAGAGATCACAACAAGATTTATTTGAATTAAATTTAGAGAACAACAATCACTCTATCGAACACGTGTTTCTCCTTGTCAGATAGAATGCGACCATTGGGGAGGCACTCTTTATGATAGCTGGGTTCTTTTCAGTGTCTTTTTCGTTTGGCTCCGAGAACAAAATGCTCTTAACAAAAGTAGGAAACAATGGAAAGGGGAGCTAGAAAACTGAACTCCAATCGTGAAGTAAGGTACAGAGTTATAAAGAAAGTTGAGAATAAAAGGGCAAACGTTGAACAAGTGAAACCAACAGGTTTGATATATTTTAGTGTAGAGAAGAACGCATCTTACCTCCACTAATTTTGTTAGAGTGGATTGAAGATCCCCACTAGTTTCACTTTTGATTTCCTCCGCAAGGTCTTTTCCATGAACTGTTATAGGGAAAATAAATAAATTGTTTGTCATGAATAGTTCATTCGAGGGCATTATCTATCGCAGGAGTGATTTAAAATATGATGACAAAAATAGTATAAGCTACCTTCTTTAAAAGTGGATTTGATCGCTTGGATTTCCTGTAAAAATACAACAGTCAAATTAGTTTCATTATCAGGATTGAAAATACCAGATCTGGAAATGCTAGGTTATTATTTAAGTAGAACACGCAGCGATATCTGGGCTTTTATTTTAGTATGGAATTGTCTTTTGCTTTGCGCTTTGCTACAAGAAGGATTGAAAATACTTACCTCCGAGCTACGCGAGCATAAAATCTCAATGAGGACAGCCTCGTCTGTTCCTAGACCCTAAAAAGTAGGAGGAAAAGGTTTACCTAGTTCCAAAGGCACAGTTTTTGTCTTAAAGTATAACCAAGATAAGACTTTGCTGATCTCACTTGAAATCTCCTTACTGAAATAATTTGGTGGATACTATGCATAACGTCCCATGACTATGGAGACCCTGATTACTAGTCAACTTACAGACATAGCATCATGTAGTGAGTTAGCGTCGTATAATTGTGGTGTCGACATGAGAGCGACTATAGCATCTTCAAACTTTCCACCAAGCTCCGACTTCAAATCATCAACAAGGTTCTGTAAAGGGTTAAAATTAATAAATAAAAAAAAGGTGAGAGGACGCTAAACAAAAGAGAGAGACTCAGTTTTCAAATTTATACAAACTTTCAAATTTCCTGTAGATTGATATGTAAGTTGTCACATTAAGTTTTTACATCTCCGGAAGTTTATTGCAAATCAAGGAAACGTTTCCCTCTGGTTAGGTGGTACATTCTCATATCTCACCTGTTAACAAAGTGTTCATATG